TTTGTAAATAATACATTGTAAATATATACATATTAATAATAATATTATTGTAAATATATACATATTAATAATATTATTGTAAATAATATATTTTACATACAATTATAAATATTCTTCTAGATATAATTAAACGAATAGAACTTACGAAATACTATAACGAATATACTCATTCCACTCTGGTTAGTATTGTAAATATATACATATTAATAATAATATTATTAATTATAATATAATAGTATTGTAAATAATATATTTTACATACAATTATAAATATTCTTCTAGATATAATTAATCGAAAAGGACTTACGAAATACTAGAACGAATATACTCATTCTACTCTGGAAATTTTATATGTATTGTAAAACACCAAGTCATCAAGTTTCAAGCACAAATGTATAAAAAAAATCTATTCTATTCATCGCTGATTTACCGATATTTTTTCAATCTTAATTTACTAATATAATTCTACAATCTGATCTACTGATGCAATCTCTTCTATACTAATACTCGTATTGACGATTAAAATGATTCCTTTCGATGAAAAATATTAAATCACGGAAACGAAGATGAGACACACATAAGTGCAGTGCATCAGTCAAGGCTAGATCCAGCAGAAATGTCTCAATTGGCGGGTTTTCGGTCCTGTACGGATGTGTTCCGCCATTTTCACGGATGCCATCGGGTGTAAAGACCGATCCCACCTGACTATAAATAAGCGAAAGCACGTGTCGACGTCGTCCGCGATGCTCACCTATTATTAGTGGCAATTAATGAGATACGGTTTCCACGGGGAATATATCCGTGGTAACGCGCGTTCGCCTCGCCTATCTCGCCGTGGAAACTTCCTACCATCCTAATTGCACCCGCTTACGCTCCCGTCAAAGTGAATTCTCGACTTCGCGCGCGCCTCGGTCTCTCGCCTCCGGTCACCTCTCATTCTCTGTCACGTTTTCGCGCCCCCATGCAGAATATTCTTGCCGAATATCCGCTTTGTCGATGTAAATATCAACCAACGTAATATATCATTTCCCCCTTTTATTTCAATGATCTCCGTCTCACCGAAATGAAAATTCATTGCACGCCGAGCACTTTTCCTCGTGATTTTCGTCTTCCCTCGTTTCGCAAATTTGACCTCTTGCGCTGGAATTTACTCAGTTTTCAGGTATATATTTAGGCGAAACGAATAATAAAATTTAGTAATTTTCGATCGTTTCTGTCCAGTGATATATATCGTTTGTACGGTTCGGTCGCTCGTTATGGTCCGCAATCGGTTGCCAGCCCAAGTGGTTAAAATTTGATCACGCTCGTGATTCGCGGTGCGAATTGTAATTTTCATTTAAACGAAACGAATTGTTGTTTGAATTTTAATTATAATTTTCAATTATTTAAATTGAAGGCTAATGCGTTGCAGGGTATTTTCAGGGCTCGAGAAAGTCACAAAGGTCGGTTGGTAAGGAAGAAAACATTTCATTTCAAAAGTTTGGCTATTTAAATGTTGCCGATGTGAACTTGTTGAAGGAATGAATAATGAACAGTTGTTTGAACAAGATTGTATCTGCGAGTAAGTTGATAAATTTACAACATTCAAAGGTTCGATAGTTCGATAGTTCGATAGGTCGATAGGTCGCGCTGTCATCCCTACGAGAAGCGGACATATTGTTGGAAAGAAAGTATAGAATCAATTAGCAATCACTTGTTGACGTGCGTATAACTTGCATTTTTTTTTTTTTTTTTTTTTTTTTTTTTTTTTTTTTTTTTTTTGTGAAGATTGAATACTGTACGATAAGTAACCTCAATTTTATTTAATAGATAATGTAATCATCAAATTCATAAAAATCATCAAAATCAATAGCTTCGTTCGAGTATAAATCGCGGCCATATGTATAATTTCATTGAACCTGTGAACACGTGAATTCTTAAAGTATAACAATTTACCATTATTTATTGTAACACTCTGTACGTGCATTTTCAAATTACAGTAGTCCCTGAACTTTACAAAAGTCTAAAGAGGACACACATTGACTACCAACCTTAAGCAGACCAAGGCTAAGAAAGAAAGAATGTGAAAAAGCAGTGTCGACAAAGAGAGCAAAATCAAGAGGGCAACAAAGCACGAAGATGCGTTTTCATCGAACGGAGGGGGGAAGGGGACGAAGGCAAAAGCGGCGGCGGCGGCGGCGGCGGCAAGAAAGCGTGGCTCGGCGCGGTGGACTCGCGCGTCCGCCCCTCCTGCGTACACACGATTCGAAAAAATTTCCTCCGGTGCTTCCTACGGCGACGATGCTCATCAATCTTGCCGCGATTTCGTCCCCGAGCCCGGACACCGAGGCACGAAATCCAATTTTCTTCGGCGGTGGAACAGCGCGCGAGAAAGAGAGAAAGAGAGTATCAGCGGGGCGCGCGGACCAATTGGCTCCTAATTTAAGGATGGCCTCGAACAAAAAAGCGAACGTAATTTCGTGGCTGGTCCAGGCGAACGACGAGCCGCGACCAACGAAAAGGCTTGGTCGTCGCAGGAGTGGCTCGCTGCTTGATAAATTAATTTGCACCGGAAACGGCTGACAAGGAAATGACGCCATCACGCGCTACCAGCCTCGGACCAGCAACCGCGCACCGCTTCCTTCGCCTTTGTTCCGATCTCGCTGTCAACCATCGATTCTAATTTCTTTTTTTCTTTCCTTCTTTCTTTTGGAGTACAATCGATTTGGTGAACCGTGGTCTTTGTTTTTTCCTTTTCTTTTCTTTCTTCAGTTGTCGGAAAACTGGATTCTTTGGTATATTACTATTGTGGATGGATTGAAATCTCTGGGAAGAAATTTATTCCATATATTATATTATAAATATATATTATATATTATATTAAAAATATAATTTCGAGTAAGTCCAAAGCGATCGTTCTTCCATTTTTCTTCGTTATATAGTGATATAACATGACATGTAACTGCATCGTTGTACTTAATGATATAATTCGCACCCTTGCAAATTATTGAATTCAAACGAGTGATATTCTTTAATAATATATTTATCGATAGTCATAGGTACCTACATAGTGTAATAATTAAATTTTTCTGTAAATAATAACGCCTAAATATCTCTATTTTCGTGAATCGTAATATGTCGATTTTGTGCACTGTGGTTCTCAATATTTTTTGACGAATCGATGAAAAATTAGATTGTTTGGTATTAGATACTTGAACTGCGAAATTTCATGCAGGCTCGTGTGTCTCTGTGAACACACAGGACCTAAAAAGTTGTCAAACGTTGTGACAGATAAGTAGCTATTTGAAAAGAAATTTGTTCAACTTAGTTTCGTAAATTTAGACTCCACTTGCTCAGTTATGGTGCGAAAAACTTAGAAAAACGCGTAAAAGACCGCGATTCGCAGGGACCCTCGGAAATTTCGATCCCTCCGCCTGTCCGGCAATTTTTTCGCTTAACTTCGTGACGCAACTCAAGGTCCGAAGGCGTTGGAAAGGATTCTAATATGCAACGAGGAGGATCGTGATACGACGGAGGCAAAAAGGGGAGAAACATTGAATAGAAAGAGAAGAATTAAAGAGCGAGAAAGAACAGAGGAAGAGGGTCGATCGTACGAGAGAGAAAGGAGACGATCTCATTTCGAAACGTGAATGAGCCGGCGGCTACCTCAAACGAGAGGCTCTCCCGGCCTTTTTCTTCTTTTTCCGCCACTCTCCACGCCACCTCTTTTTCTCTCCGTCTTTCTCGGCGTCGTTTTTTTTCCTCCCCCCATTGCTACCCGGTAGATTCGAGTTTTTCCCGGGCACAACAATGGCCGTTCGCCGCCGATCTCGCCTCGCTACCTGTTACACGGCAGAAGATCGGCATGATGCACCACCTATCTAGATAATGACTAATCAACCCAACTGGGGAACGGAGCCGACCGGTCTTCATTGTTTTCTCGATCGACCATCAGCGTTGATATACTTAAGAGTAGACGCGTTTGTGACAATTTAACGAACGGCCCCGGAGGGCCGACTTTTATTCCGACTGGGAAAATTACTTGCAACTTTTTGCGTTCGCATGTCCGTTTGAAATTTATCTTTGAGTAATGCTAGGTTATAGTAATATGCGTTATTTTATACAGTGATATAATAGCTGTATAATATAATATTATTATTTGGATAATAATCGATAATTGACATTTTAATTTTGGAGTTATTTAATTGACTGTAAAATTGTGGCCGAAAATCTTTCATTAATCGTAAGAGATTTTTTTTCTGATGTCTTTAACATCTTTTATTTATTTATTTATTTATTTATTTAGGTTTTGATGTTAGGGAACGTACAATTTTGTTTTGTAAAATATTTTTATGTCGTTTCAATTTCAATTTCTCAACATTTTTACGTATTTTGGATTTGTCTTACATTGTCGATAACATTTATTATCAATTATTAGATAATTATTGAAACTATAATATTAAATTATAATTAGAATGCTTCACACGTTAGAATCCATTTCAAAATTCCTTATTGTACATCGTAGATTTTCAGATATCATCAACTGTAGTGTAAAATTTCTATTTATAATTGTGATCAAAATGAAAATGCACAACCTAACACTAATAACTTCGTTCCAACGTTTTCGCAAAGAATCGTTCTCAATTCTCCAGAAACACGAATTATACAAAACACCGATTACACCGATTACGAAAATATTACAAAGGGAGACTCACTGTTCTAATGATTCTAATATTAACAATTGAACGGTGAGATCATTCACGAGTCGCCACCAGCACGTCCAGAATCACTATAAATACCGCAACTGTTTGTATTTCCAGCGAGACCCGTGACCGATGCATCGTGAAACGAACGAACGTGAAGATTTCGTTGGATTTCACGTGGCGAGCCAGCCGATCCCTCGGCGAAACGCAAAAAAAGAGAAGATCGGGCAACATTCCGAGAACAATGTACTATCGAAACGGTGATTGTGCCGGGCTCTACTCCACGGTGGACGATTTAATCGGGGAGAGGAGAGAAAAATGGAAGAAAAAGACTGTGACGACAAATACGACGACGTCTCGTTGGTAATAGGCTCACGTCATCGTGGCGCTGGTTAATTAAAAGCATCTCGCTCGCCTCGAGATCCGGATCATTTGTTTAGCGATCGTGCACGGAGAGTTATCTGGCTGTTACGATCGTTCCGTGTCGGATCGCAATCAGCTACCGGATTTAACGTACGAAGAAATCACGGCCGGCGAGGGGAAAGGAGAGAAGGAAGGCGAATTTGGGAACGAGTCGAACGAGGACACTGACACGTCGAAGTTGAAATGAAACGTTCAGGATATTATTGGAAATCTAATAGTTATTAGTAGAATTTTATTATGCGAGTATTACGTCGCGAGTCGGGTGATTTTACACTTATTCTTTCTTCAATCTTTCAATTGAATTTACAACATTGCTGCCATTGTCAATGATAAAAAAGAAAAGCAGGCACAGTAAGAGTATTTACTCAACGACATAATTAATGCAGCTTGTTTGCGACTCTATTAAATGAATACTTGAATAATGATTTCCGATTGATTGTAAAGTGTAAATTATATTATTGTTTTTACTTTGGGGAAAGTATGTTTTCTAAAAGAGTAAGTTAGCGTTTCTTTATTTATGCGGAACTATCGGTTTTGTTAAGTTACACAGCTACAATTCTACATCAGTCAGTAAACAATCTTGAGTGGTTTTCGACCGAAGAGCTCGGAAATAAATAGAAAATAAAACTCACGTATACAATGTATACTAAATTAACTTGAAAGAAAAAGATGCGTGTATAACTGCGACGACAATTTCAACTGCTCTTCGACTGACTAAAAAGGAAACCCAAATAAAAGAAAGCTTGTTGTCAGACGATGGCAACGTTGTAACAGCCACCCCAAAAAGTTGAAAACTTCGCAGTTTTTTACTTTAAAATAAAATAATTTTCATATAATATTGTTGGATGACCAACCCGGACAATATTATTGAATGTATCCAAATACTGACAATAAGCTAACAACAGTCCACATAAAAGTGGACTGTGAATAGTTAGTCATAAGGGCAAGATCCAATGGTTGGTCATCTATGCTCCTTCCCCTTCTACTTGACGATGATAACCAAATATATATAAGGACATGCTTTAGAGACATTCCTACTCATAAAACATTCTAACTCATTATATATAAAGACATTCTATATCGCTAACAAAATTCTAAATCATTATAGAGACATTCTATGTCATTAAAAGCATTAGACATTCATCATATTCCAAGACATTCTAAACTATTGTAAATCATTCTATTTCATATACGACCATGACTGTAAGGGAATAAAGTCTTCTAAATTGTAAATGACTCCATTACACAGAATCCAACAATATTACCAACTGTTTTCTTTACTTGTGGATTTGCAAAATTTGACTTCACTTATATAGAATATTTATACAAAAATATTTATAAATTTGAAAGAATAAATGTAAAATCCGATTGAAAAATTATCACTCTATACCGATACCGGTAACAGTCCACATAAAAGTGAACTGTGAATAGTTAGTCATAAGGGCAAGATCCAATGGTTGGTCATCTATGCTCCTTCCCCTTCTACTTGACGATAACCAAATATATATAAGGACATGCTTTAGAGACATTCCTACTCATAAAACATTCTAACTCCTTATATATAAAGACATTCTATATCGCTAACAAAATTCTAAATCATTATAGAGACATTCTATGTCGTTAAAAGCATTAGACATTCATCATATTCCAAGACATTCTAAACTATTGTAAATCATTCTATTTCATATACGACCATGACTGTAAGGGAATAAAGTCTTCTAAATTGCAAATGACTCCATTACACAGAATCCAACAATATTACCAACTGTTTTCTTTACTTGTGGATTTGCAAAATTTGACTTCACTTATACAGAATATTTATACAAAAATATTTATAAATTTGAAAGAATAAATGTAAAATCCGATTGAAAAATTATCACTCTGATACCGGTAATGTAATATTTTGGTACCCGAGTGTCGCAAACATTCGGGACCCGACCCGAACCCGAGAAAATTACCCGATTCGAACCGAACCCGAATTGTCGGGTACCCTAATTACTGATAGTATCAGGAGATATATGAATTGTTGTGTTTCAAAGTCGAGGAATAGGTATCAGTGAAGATTAATGATTGTTGAAATTCAGAATTCAGATGACACGTGACGATAGAAAGTGAATAGAAGTGAATAAACAAGCGTTAACAGTCGAAAGGAAACACTGAGAAAATTTATTGGAAATATTTTCTATCAGTTATTAAAAATTGGAAGCCACGTGTAATTGTGTTTCAGAATCGAAGAACATAAGAAAGGTATAATGAATTTCAGAATCTAACGGATGATATCATTGTGAGAGGAAGAAAAGGAACGAAAGAATGGCTCGTTCGATTAACTTCATTTCTTATCGATGACGCAGCGTGCGCGATAAAAAAATTATACGTGTGTGTCATTGATTGGTACTCAATTTTTTTCTTTTTTTTTTTTTAGATTGAAATCGAGAATATTATTCTACGAGTGAAATTGCAGTTTGAACAAAAAAACGAGCACTTTGTGTTTGTTTGAGCTATTGCGTACAAAAATCGGCTACCGAAGACAGTTTTTCCTGAACTCGCCGGCAAGGAATGTATTAACCCGTCAACGATGGAAACCATGTTGTAATTTTCTTCTTATATGAACAGAGAAGGTTTGCGTAATGCTCCAGCAAATTGTCCGATCTTTTTTGTCCCTTGAAATTGTTGGGATAATCTCCGTTTATGTTCTTTTATATTTTGAAGTGCGTGCTACGTTTACTTTGCCGAAGCAATCTTCAGCCACTGGTTTGACAAAAGATAAGTATCTATATAGCTGAGGAATTTGTAACTATAAAGATCAGTTATATCGAAAGAAATATTCAGAATTTATTGCAAATTTTGTCCAACGCGTTATTGCGTTTCAATGTTGATGATTGATGATTGCTGGAATCTAGAAGAAATGAAATGCGACTGTGAAGAAACTTGAAGACGTGATTAATAGAGCTCAAAAAGTTGATAGCTATAAAGTCGTTGCCAGATTGCATTACTAGATCACACTTCGTGTGATTTTGTATTTTCGAAAGAAACTTGAACAGAAATTTATTATAATAGAAACAGGTTACTCTACTTATGTTCTATTTTTTGCAATATCTTAACTGATGTTATCGGACATTAAATTAACTGAGTTTCCATTGTAACAATCTCAGTCGTAGTGAATATAAAACACAAAATAGAATGCAAAATTCCAAATGAAAGTGTAAAATTGAAAATCTATATAGCACGTTTCAACAACGTTTCTTCACACTACGTGCAATTTCACGATTCAAAGTAACCACACAAACAAAAATCCGCAGCTCTGTTAATTAGCTCCTCATAAAAAATGATCCAACTACATCCTTCCGAGAAGATCTAAAGAAACTACCGAACACCGAAGTAACTCCTCATCGTCTGAAACAATCAACACCTCCTCAAAAAAAAAAAAAAAAAAAAGAAAAAAGAAAAAACCGAAAACAGAAAAGAACCATAGAAACTTCGGAACACATAACGGAGGAGAATCTCTCAGAAGGCGTGCGAGACGAATCACCTCGTAGCCTTCAGTGACTACGCTCGAACAATCGGAAACACGTAACACGTCGAGGAGATCCTCCTGGTCGCCAGATTTTTCGCGCTTCGATCTCGAACTCGAACTTAATTACTGGAAGCCCCCCCCCATTATCGTTCACAATGAGGCTCGGCGATGCTTCTGCAACACCTCTTCTCTCGCCTTTTCCGATCTCCTTCGCCGTTCTTCCCTGCTATCTCGTTTCTTCGAGGAGACGAAGGAGCAGGGTGAGGTGGTTTTGTTTTTACCTAATTTGCCCCCGACGCGACGCGGCGTGGTCTCCAGTGGCGCGCTGAGAAGAAGATGGGCGGGAGACGCTGTCGCCTCAACCGCCATTTCTCGGCTCTACCGGGATCGTGGAAACTTGTCCAGTCATCGACGCTTGATCGAGCCGACGCAGATACTTTTCTCCTTCTCCTTCTCCTCCTCTTCTTCTTCTTCTTCTTCTTCTTCTTCTTCTTCTTTTTATTTTTATTCTTACTCGAGGGTATTCTTGTTCTGCTCCTCGTTTCCACTGTGTTTCTAACGGTATAGGTTGGAATACTGTAGGATACAGAAGTCACCTGAAGGGAGGTTGAACTTTTGGATAATTGGTCTGGTAATGGGATTGTTGTTGGCGAACAGTTAGTTCTGAGGATGCGACGTGAAGAAAGATGGCGCATTTTCAGTGTTTTTCCAGAATGGTACGAAGACGTACCAGATAATATATATATATATTATATATATTATAGAATTTATCTGGATATATATATTATATACATATATTATATATATTATAGGATTTATCTGGATATATTTTATGTTATTATAGGATTTGATTTTATTTCTTATTTTTGGTACTCAGTACTTAAAATTCAATATCTATCGTAGTTGACTGCATTTTATAATAAAATTAGTACATTAATACTTTACAAATTCTTTGTTGCGTAGTAGGTATATATCACAAGGATATATTTAGTTTTGAGGATGCGACGTGAAGAAAGATGGCGCATTTTCAGTGTTTTTCCAGAATGGTACGAAGACGTACACTTCTGCTCCAAAGTTTATTTATATAGACATATTATATGTTATTATAGAATTATAGAATGTTATTATAGAATTGTAGGATTTATCTGGATATATTTTATATATATATAAAATATATCCAGATAATATATATATATATTATATATATATTATAGAATTTATCTGGATATATATATTATATACATATATATTATAGGATTTATCTGGATATATTTTATGTTATTATAGGATTTGATTTTATTTCTTATTTTTGGTACTCAGTACTTAAAATTCAATATTTATCGTAGTCGACTGCATTTTATAATAAAATTAGTACATTAATACTTTACAGATTCTTTGTTGCGTAGTAGATATATATTACAAGGATATATTTAGTTCTGAGGATGCGACGTGAAGAAAGATGGCGCATTTTCAGTGTTTTTCCAGAATGGTACGAAGACGTACACTTCTGCTTCCAAAGTTTATTTATATAGACATATTATATGTTATTATAGAATTATAGAATGTTATAGAGTTATAGAATGTTATTATAGAATTATAGGATTTATCTGGATATATTTTATATATATATAAAATATATCCAGATAATATATATATATTATCT